TGCTTTCCTGCCATGCAGAAGTCCACTAATATTTTCTTCTTAGGCATTCTCGGCCAAAGTCTCTGTTATGTAACTCCATGGACTTCTGCTGCTGGAATTTCACAAGCAGAGAATCTGGATCTTTGTTTTCCAAAGGAGCATTACATAACCCTTTAAATGCAGCTATTGAAATACAGCTACTTAAAACCACTGATACCTTTCATAGCATCCTTGGAATACTTATCACAATGTTAAAAAAAAAGTACCCCAGCCTAAACATAGGAGTTATTAATGGATTTTAATGGAGATATGAATGGATTCTATACAACAATATGCTGAGTGCTAAAGCCCTGATCCAGCAAAGCACTTAAGCAAGTGAAGTCCCATTGACTTAAATTTAAGCATGTGCATAAGTGCTTTGATGGACTGGGACCAGAGTGCTCAGCACTTTGCTGTATCAAGCCCTATCATTTTTAGGGTTTTCCCCCCTATGTTTTTGTGGTTTTGCTGTATAAATCTGCTCTTGTTACTTCATCTATGATTTCTAATGTTAATTCAGGATGGAAGATACACAGCCCAACGACAAACCAAACAGGTTGTCCCATCATGAGGATCTTTTCTTCAGTGCAAGATGATTGAGGTACATACAAGCTAAATATCACGAACATTCCAGGAGGTGAACAATAAATACTGATGCTATAGAGTTATAAACAAACATGAAAAGCTTGATAGAATTTATAAAATTATAGATCTGTTACTTGCTGTGGTACTGCCAATGGTACTTATTACACTGCCCGTGATATCCATATGATCTAAGAGCCCAGACATTCAGTCTCTATGACTGAGGGCTTGAAAGATGCAGCAAATACCATATATTATCCCCATAGCTATTTACCTTAAAGCTGCATTTAGTATCTTTTGATTGTTTTTGTAGTTTGCTTAAAGCAAAAATGATACAGGCAGAACTGTGGATAAGATAAGAATATTAACTGTCCATGTCAGATTCTAAGGTTTTTTAACTGGTACTGTGTATACAATTTCATAAAGGAAAACTTTGTTTGAAAGTGATGATTAGTGTTGGTTCTCTGTGATATCTCCCCAGTGAAAACCCTTTAGAGCAAAGAAATGCCAAATTATGGGGCATCTTGTAGCTGCACCCTAATGCCCACACAGCATGTTTCGACTGATAGTGACAGACACTGTATTACTACAGAGAACTTCCTTCTGCGTCCATCAGATACAGAAATCTGCAACACACAAGCATCACTCACAGGATAATGCAAAACCTTAATTACAGTCTCTTACTTCTCCCGCAACACACACAGCATGGCATACCTAATTTGTGAACATATCAACCCCCATTAGTTGCTAGTGTCGTAGGGTTTGTAATTAAAGTTTTGTATTACACTTTGGGCCAGATTCTGACCTGCTACTTCAGCGTATATATGGAGTAATTCCAAACAAATAGAGAATCAGACCTATTGACTTCTGTGGAGTTAATTTAGATTTGAAGCTGAGATCGAATCTGGCCCTTCATAGACAAACTTCTCCTCCCCACCCCCCTGCAAATTATCTGTATCTTCAGAAGATTGTCTTTTAAAAGTTTTCCCCATCTTTGTTTTCCCACTGCTAAAACATTTTCTACACTCCCAGGAATGAATTATTAATAAGGGTATTTACCCTTTGATTCAGCACAAATAAAGATGTTTCCTATTCAGTAGCACTGCTAGCTTATTGGGGGCCCTAAGCAGGAATATTGGGTGGGCCTTCCCCCAGTACTAAAATAGACAAGTTCTTATAATAAAAAGCGAATGGGGGCTCCCTTGAGCTGCACGAGGCCCCAAGCAATTGCTTAGTCTGCTTATACCTAGTGCCAGCTCTGTTCCTGTTGCAAGGAAAATCACACGGAAAAGCTTTTTCATAACAGACCTAGGCACATGCAGGTTTCTCTAAGTATATTGGTTTATTTACATATAGCTTGAATTGAAAACATAGGCACTTATTAGCAAGACATTTCTTGTTATTTTGCAAGAGCTAAAAGCAATTTTCACAGTACCGTTTTGGCAGTGAAGCTATGTGAAAGCCAGGCCCAATGAAAAGAAAAAGCTTCTCTGGGCATCATTGCACCAAAGGCAAAATCCTATCATCCAGTCTTTCATGGTCCATAGTGGGACAGTGACCAACGGCTTCATGCCAATGCCTGCCTGGAGTGAGAATGAATGGGCATACTCAACTTGGGGCTTTAGCTCACCTACCACAAAAGGTTTAAGGATTTCATAAATAAATAAAAGAAGCTCTAAGTTTGGAACAGAAGCTTGTTTATCTCACTTTTATTAATAGTAGACAAAAAGTGAACTATAGACAAGATGGGGAACAGCCTATACCTGAACCGTTGATTACATTTGAAAATGAATTCCTTCATATTTTGCTTTTGTTACCCCATGGGTTCCTCTCTCACCTGAGACTCTGACAAGGAAAAACAGCAACTAGAGGCTCTTTGACCCCCACGCATGATGAGATTGCAGTCAGATGCTGCAAAAGGACAGCCAAAGAATCATGGGCTCCATGATGTCTGATTAGCCCCTTCCCTTTGTGAAAAGAGAACATGGAATTCACGCATGACTGGGATTGGGGGAGTGAGGGGGAGTAAAGAGAGGAGCCAAACAGGAGGGTCTGGGAGGTAGCCCAAGAAAAGTGGCAGATGTCTGGACTGAACCCAGGTCTTTCTAGAGAGAGGGGAGCAGATGCCCTTGTGCATAGAGTGAGAAAGAGGATCAGTAACCTTCATGAGAAAAGAAGGAAAACAACTAGTCTGGCTACAGAAAGAGTGGCAGAAGCACAGACAGGTGAGAAGGAACCCTGCTTACTGAGCCATTTCCCAGCAAGGGTAGAAAGGAGCCAGACCCCGAGACCCTTAGAGCCTGGCTACCAAGAGCCAGCTGTTACCCCAGGGAAAGATAGAGACTTCAAAGCATCTGAGACCTTCGGAGGACTATACCCCTCCTGGGCTGAAGAGAACAGTTATCAGGGGACTGTCCCTACTACAATAACAAAAGTTCTTTTAAAAAAAATTCTAGTCCCCCACCACCACAAAAAGAAGAAGAAGAAAAAAAAGCTGTCTATGCTCTTGGGTGTTGGCTTGGAAAACACCATATGCTTTTGCAAAGCAAGTTTGTTTTACTCAGTTCACAACATTTTTGAAGAAAAAGTCTCAAGAATTCCCCCATACTTCACTACCACCACACTCAAAGTCTACAGGCTAGATCTTGATCTATGGCCAGGTGACACAGAGGGGCTTTAAAACTCCCTTAAATGGGCATACTCACAATGTGAGGGAATCCCTGGCTGTAATAAAGCTAGCATAGCCAGTTGTATACCACTCCCTCAAACTTTGCACTTCCCTTTCCACTGGGCAGTGAAGGGGGCATGACCAGAGACCACTGCATTACAGTGACCCCTAACATGCATAATTTAGAACAGCCCAGAGGCTGCCCCTCAGTTGCACCCAATGATCATGGCAAGCTATCAAGCACAGCTGGATGGGATTCCATTCTGAGTTTATCAGGGCCAGTCTTGAGATTTCTGCAGAGGGGGATCATTAGTTGAAGCTTGTTAGCGGAAGTTAAACAGAGCAGCATTCCAGGCAAATCAGCAAGAGTCACAGCTCATGAGTAAGGCTGTGATTTTGTCACGGAGGTCACAGAATCCGTGACTTCCAAAGACCTCTGTGATTTCAGCCAGCGCTGGCTGGGAGCTGCTGGGTCCCCTGCCACCTACGGAGGCAGGGACCCCCCGCAGCTCTCCGGCAGCCACGGGCAGGTTTGAGCCCCCGGGGTGCTGGGGGCCTCTGGAGCTCCCAGCCTGCCTGCAGCTGCCCAGGCTCCCCATTTTGTCACTGAAATCTTAGCCTTACACATGGATTCTCCATAACATTTTGCAGTAATATCAGCAATCTCTCCCTATAGTCTATTATTTTCATTTGCATTGGCTACTGTTTTACTGTTTTCCACTGAATTTGTTGTTTATTGCTTCCAAATATTAGGATAAGCACCAGACGATAAAGGACTGTTGTTGGATAAATGAATGATTGTTTCTAAGCTTAAAAGCTATGTCAAAAATCTCCCCCCTCTAGCACATGCAATACATTTTAATATTTAGTTTAGGGCCTGATTCAAAGTACTTTGGAGTCAATGGGATTTAGATCAGGCCCTTACAGGAAACAATGTTGTATGAAAAAAGAAAAAAGAAAAAAAATCCGCGAATAACACAAATAATGATTCTTTCCTAGAAATGGTACCAACCTGACTTGGCAGTATAGTGTGAAAATGCTCATTGTGTTTTTGTTCCTGAGAATAATCAAGAATGAAGTCTTTTTTTGTCTTGGATATTATTCCCTTGGATAGCATCCTCTAAGTCTCTTATAGTTGACCTTTCAAAGATGAGCTCCCTCAAGACTCTGATGGAAACTCTTTGTCATAGCTCAATTACTTTGTCCTTTACTTTTATGATAAAAGCCTGTTACTGCTTCAGTCCTCTACGACAGCCCACATTGTCAGAAATTAAAAGCTGGACCCCATCCTTAAAATAAACTTCTCCCTTTTCAGAGCATAAGGTCTTCAAGCAGGCACCAAGGCTCCAGTTCAAGAAAGCACTTAATCACATACTTAACTTCAAGCATATATTTAAGTCCTTCAAGGGGACTTCTGTATGTGCTTAAGCACTGTATTGAATAGAGATGCTTTCCTGAATTAGGGCCCTAGACTTCTTATGTGTGTGGACAGCGCATAGTACATTCTTGGCACCACAAGTGTACAAATAATGATCATAAACAATAAACAATTCCAAATGAGTAATCAAAACACACTTCAGGAGTAGCGTTCTGTTTGTGTCAGAGGCCAACCACTATATGTTCACTTAGGCCTTAGTGCCTAATTCAAAACCCACTGAACTCAATGGAAATCCTACTAAAATTAATTGAAGTCTTTGTATCAGGCTCTTCGTTAAAATATTCTAGGTAGTACCTGCGGACGGATGGTGTTATTTCCTTTTCCAACGTGGTGAACAATCCCAGAGATACAGAGCGGACCAGCAAACCCAAGCAAGTCAGCCAGAATACGGAAAGTGCTGCTGAGAACTAGTGGTCTCCCAAATGCCCAGCAGAGAGCGCACCAAATTGATTTGGATCCTTGTGGATATGGAGACCTTTTGTTCTGCCCATTAAAAAAAAAAAAGATATATAAACATTGCAACACGTAAATACAATTGATATTTTAAATTTTAAAAATGAGCCTCAAGAGTAGATAATTCATAATATTGATTTGATAAGCTCTGGGCTAAAGAATTAGGAATGTGCAGGAATTCTGTTTCATGGGAAAATCCACAATTTAAATTTTATTTTTGTTCTGAATCAGAATGAAGTATAACATTAAAACATTTCCCATGAAATGAAGTTTGACCACAAATGATTTTTTAAATCAAATAATTTCATTTCAATTTAGACTTTTACATTTATAGTATAAATTGCTAAACAAATAATAAAATTGGAGTATTCCATTTTGAAAAAGTTTGTTCTGGGAAAAAATAATAATGAAGCATTCTAAGAAGGTTGAAATGGAAAGCTTCATTATTATTTTGTCCCAAAACAAAATTTTGTTGAAGGCAATATATTTTTGCGCAAAGTTTCAATTTTGTCAAAACAAAATTATTTGACGGCAAACATTTCACTGGGAAATTTTCAAGCAGTTGTACTCTTGACCTTGTGCCAAAGAGGAGGGGAAATTTTTTTCTAATTAAACAGACTAAGAATGGGTAGCCACAAGACCCACTTATGCTGATTTGGCTTACGAGTCACATAGTGGACAGTAACACAATGGTTCTGTAATGTAGTGTTACATTAAAAGCCATTTTGTGCTAAAAATACAGGGGGAATTTGTGCAAATTTTACATAGTCTATAGTGAGATTGGCACAAGTTGCATTGCTCTATAGGGAGCAATGAGAGGTGTTCTGTTTTAAAGAGTTAGAATTCCTCTCAGTTTGCTCACTGCTACATGGTGTGAATTAGCTTGATAGTGGCAGAGCTGGCCTATTCCTCCTCTCTGCTCCTTACTGGACGCCAAAGGAGTAGGGAGGAAGCAGTTCCTGTTCTCCATTGAGTTCAAGTCTGGAATGCTGCTTTGTCCTTAAACAGGCTGCACACGAATGGGGAGGGAGTCTTCTTACTACCTCTTATACCACTGCACACACACATATAAGGGGCAGGTAGTGGTCTTAAGTGAAGACCACCAAGCCAGTTCATTTCAGGCTCAATCCTGAACTCTCTCTCAAGAAAACTCCCACCGATCTCAATAAAAATTAGTCCTATAAAGCCCCTGTAAGATTAGTCAAACTTATTTTAGGTTCTTATTAAGAGGCAAGTTAACCATCTTCACAAAAGTATAATCCACAGTTGTGCAAACAATTACGTTTCCATAATTGTACCTGCAAACCAAACATTTGCACATGCAAATAGCCATTTACATGCACATCTGTTCATAATCATGCACAACCACTGTAAATACAAAAAGTGCACATACAAATTAGGCACTCAGCTGCATGCCTGACTTAATGCAAACCAGGCTCTTAATACCTAGCATGTTTCCACTTTATATTTTTATATGAATTTATACTGTTACTATCAAAAAAGTAATGAGGTATTTTAAGCAATGTGTAAACACCACAAACATTTGTAGATAATCCCAGTCTTCCTTTTCCCCCCCTCATACCTTTTGTGCTTCAAAAGCCTCATTAAGGCGAATGTAATTTGTCAGAGCTCTCATGGCGATAGGCAGCTTGCCTATGGCTTTCAAGTCTATTGGCTTTTTATGGGCGGTCTTGATGAATGTATTCATCCACCAGTATGTTCCTTTGGACAGCAGATTCACAAAGGGCTGTAGGAACCGAACTCCAAGATCCTGAAGATCCTCGGGTGGCTTAACCTCTTTGGGGGTTTTGAAGAAAACGTATCTCTGAAATCCAAAAATCCCATCAAGAATCACATCAAGTGCATGGAAAAGAAAAAGACAAATCTGTGTGGAAGGGGATACTGAGATAACAGAAATGCCTGTCATTGTTCAGGAGGAATAGATAGCCACTGAGTGTATGGCTGGGATTTGCAAATAGACTAATGAAATTAGGCTCCTGACTCCTATTGAATTTCAGTCAAATTTGGGCACCTAATTTCCTTAAGTTACTTTGAAAATTCCAGCCTAAAAAGGAGAAAGATATTCAAGCCCTGAAGGAATCCCACACAAAGATCGTATTTTGCCTGTGAATTTAATCCTGCACTGTAAAAATATATTAAAGCTCAGTGAATATTTACAATATTTTATGTTAAAATCTACATTGAAGATTATTCTGTCCAATGCTGCAAACTGCACAGTACAACACCCCGCCCCCATCTCCTGCAAACTTTCATAGAGAACCATTAAAATTAGATTGCACATGGCACTAGCAAATATTTCCATTGACTTAAATGGGAGAAAGATCAAGCCCCTAGACTACGATGTTTCATGCTGCAAGTATCAAAGTTCTTGTACAATATACTATATTTAAGAGTATCTTGTAGTACTATCACTAGGGAGTTCTGCTCAGACAAAGATGACATGACATGGCTCATCATTTGCTCCTACAATATTTATTAACATGGAATTTAATACACTGTAGCGTTGCAGTTAATTATGTAAAGCCATATTGATTAAAATTCTGTTTTTCATTAAATCCCATGCAACCCCAGCAAAATCAACAAGGTTGAACAGGAGTAAGTGGGAGGAGAATTTAGTCCATGTATTTCAGGTTTTTCCCTTCTATCTAACAACATAGATATATGCAGATAGGGTGACCAGATGTCCCGATTTTATAGGGCCAGTCCTGATTTTTGGGTCTTTTTCTTATATAGGCTCCTATTATCCCCCACCCCCGTCCCGATTTTTCACATTTGCTGTCTGGTCACCCTATATGCAGACGGGTAAATCTATTAAGCAGATCCATTCAGGGCTTGAAATGACTGCGAGTTGGTGGCCTGAAGCCCCGCTTCCTTACATCATATTCAGCAACAATAATTCTGTGTTTATAATTAAGCCATATTTAACCTGATTTCAGTTTGTTGCTGCAATTTATTTTCTTCCAAGAAAATAGCCATGTCTGGGACAGGGAAAATGACTTTCACTACTTGCTTTCTACTTCCATTTCTAATAAGGATTTTACCGGCAATTCTGTCCAGTGATCATTTAATATAACTTTCATTCCTGACTGCTGTGGAGGGATTTTTTCCCCAACAAAGCAATAGGAGTGACAAACTGAACATTGTATGCAATTCTTGATTAAAAACTACAATCCCCTGTGTTGTGTTTTGCTTGTGATCTGTTTGCCTTCAATCATTCATATTCTTAGTTGCCAGAAGAGAGGCACTTTGTGCCTTAATGCTTGGAATATGCTATATTATTGGTTAGTTCAAGTCACATGTAAAAAGTAACATCTTTTAATTATTTACTCTAAAGAAATATGAAACTGAAAAAAACAACACTAAGCAATGGCTGATCATTTCAGTGGCTCATTTTGTAGTCTCCCTTGTGGACCCAACATTTCCTAGCTAATTAAATCTCATTAGATTACAAAATTATATTAAAAGAACCATATTTAAAAGCAAGGTCCTGTTGGTATCACAGCTGAGTCTCATTATTCCATGAGCTGACACAACAGTTGTCAGTTGTGAGCTTAATATTTAACTTCCCATAGTCTGATCCACACTGTATGTTCTCTTGAATGTCTGTGAGCAGGCAACTTTTCCCTAATGCCTAGTTTAATTCAGTGCTGTGTGCATTGGGTGAGGGAAGTGATAAGGTGTTTTGAATTGTATTTCATGTAGCAATCTCCAAAGCCATCTATTAATAGGGATTCTGATTGTGGCCATAGCAAAGAGGAAATAATCAGAGAGGACTAAAGTTGCTCTAGCACCATGATAATAAAATAATAATATTTTAAAAATCACATTGTGTGTGCTCTTACAGACTGGAAAACAACAGATACTCTGTGTGGGTGTCACTGACTATGTTTTCGGCTAGAACGGACTATCCATTTCAATGTATCTTTTCCTTTATGAAGATTAATGATTTCTGAAGACTGAAGTTGTCAGTCATATAAGAAACATCTTTTCAAAACAAAATGGATGAAATTCATTCTGAATTGTCAATGCAGTGGAGTCAAAGGAGTTTGCAATAAAAATGAATTTGGCTTAATTATATTACTCAGATGTTTGGTTTTTAACTAGGTCTCTATTTCAGACTGTATTTTTTTTTTTTTTTACATTTTATATTATGCAGCCAGATAAAAGTAAAGGAAGAAACAGAAATGAGAATTACCTGGAAATTTAACTTACCCTCACCCTGATGACATTAATTTCTACAGATAGTAGCATTCCATATAGAATAACCAGAAGTCCCGTGAGGCAAAATCGAAGCTGAGAAAATCCAACCCCATTATCACAGAACTTTACAAATTTGATAGTTTTGGTTATAAAAGCTAAGGTCCAGTAGAACAGCAAGGCTGCCAATAAATAAATAAATACAACAACAAACATTAGTCAGCACTGATTGTGGAAAACTTATTTTAGACAAAATTAGAAGACTTTGCTAAATGGTTACACAGAAGGAAAATGACAAGCATGCATGAAACTAGGCAGTGCTCTTTCTCCTGTCAAAATGGCAACGCAACCAATTCAGTTTCCAAGAATGTGAATAATAGGATGAAGTTTGGGTCTGATCCTGATTACATTCAGTGAGACCATGGATAGTCTTTCAGGAGGATCTTCTGGTGCAAATTTCCATCTGCCTGTAAACCTATGCCCACATCAGTCCCTCCAAGGGAGTGGTGGTGTTTCAGTGGGGGAGGCCCAGGGGCCCAACTCCAAAGCTTTTAGATTCTGGGGAATCCACAGAGTTTGGTCTGGATGTTGACCTAGATATTCTGCTTTCCTTACCTGTGCAGAACTCTACTTGATGTTAAAGATAAAAGCCACCAAACAGACCTGAGAGCAAAATTTCCCCCTAAAATCGCTGCTTTCCTCAGTGTGTATGTACTATGCAAATTCCACACAACACAGTTTATAACACAGAATACACAAGCAAATAAAAGAAGGAGAATGGTGCTTGAGTAGGAAACCACAACTTTTGTAGAGTATTGATTTTCACAGAGCATTTTCTATTCAAGTGTACTCAGGCTGCAGTCATGTATAGACAAATAATTCCACCAAGAGGCTCTGGTGACATTGAAACCCCAATCTGGAGTTTATTTCATGTCATTCACTATATCATGAGACAGCTCCTCTGGGAGTAGTCTCACTAGCGTCAATTATCCAATCATTAACTGAGTAGGATGACCTGGGGGTTGACCCCACATTTGGTTTTATATATTTAATAATATCAGATTGGATTGTTCATTCTGACAGTAGAACAGTATGGGGAGGGAAATGTTGAGCGTATCCGTTTGCAGCATTTTCTCCAATTCTCCTGTTGCAAGGCTGGGGGGCAGAGGGGTTTGTCGCCACCCCAGGCAGAATCAACTGTGAGGCTTACTCAGAAAGCTGGATGGTCCCCAGGGGACCCATGTAAATCTTAAGCAATCCACAGGAGGACAAGGCAATCTGAAATATCACAGAAATGGAAGAGGGATGGAGACTCAGGTCCATCTGATCACATTTTCTGTGGAGGAGTGAGATCCATGTGTGGAGAGTCCCCTGCATTAACAGAACCCGGGGGTGAGATCTGGCACATGGTCTGCAATCCCACTTTCATTGAAGTAAATGACAAAACACCCATTTATTTCAATGGGAGTAGGTGTAACACTATAGGAGTCCCCATTGTGGCACCTTTAGTGTTTATATTAACGCTACAAGACAATGGAAGTACGGCATTTCATCAAGACAGAACTTCCATGGGCTACAATTACTGATCAAAGTTTAATGACCAATATAATGAATAGCTGTTACAAGTGAATGACTGTTGTCAGGGAAACCTGATCTTCCTGTAGTAGGAACAGGCTAGATTGTAAGAAAAAAAGCCCATATATGGTCAGATCTTCAGGACTAGCCTTTGGTGGCTAGTGAAACTCAGAGCAGAATGGGGTGGGAGGGCCATGTGTTTCTCTCCTGCTTATAGGATCAGGTCACCCCTTCCTTGAAGCTCCTCACTGGCTTCCCAACTCTTACTGAATCAAGTTCAGTCTCTTGCTCAACTTCAGGGCTCTGCATATCATCTCACCCTTGCCTACATCTCTGCTGCTATTTCTGGCTACTCTTCCTCTTGGTTCAATTCTCTCTCTTTAATGATCCCTCCACTCACTCCCATCTGCTTATTTCAAGTTGACACCCACACTTGGAAAATCTCCTACTCCTTGTCTAGCATGTGTCCCTGTCTTTCCTCTTTCAAATCCCCCTTTCAAATCCACTTCTTCTTGCAATACTTTCTACCTTGTTCTTAATTTCCTTGCTTCATCTGTACTATTGCTCCCCCTTTTTTTGTCTAATTTATCTCACATTGTAATCCCTTTGGGGCTGACAATGTATCTTACTCAATATTTTTAAAGCATTATATAAATGTAGGGTGCATCAACTGTGGGCACCCCTTATAAAAAAGTATAGAAATATCAATTTAAAGTATCTGGTATTAGCAAACAAGGCCATTCTTCTATTGGGAATTAAAGTACAAGTCTATCTGACCAATTTTCCTAATTACAGGATTCATTTTACAAAGCTGTTCTTGCCAAGTAAAAAGCTTGAATTTTACCTGAGTAGGTGAGCTGTGTAGTCTTAGAAGGTTCTAACCCTAACATTCTGAGATAATAGGTTGTACAAACACATGGTAAGAAACATTCTCTGCCACTAAGAACTTGCAATCTAAATAGACAAGACACAGAAAGAGTGGGAGAAAGAGTGTTATGATCCCCATTTTATATGTGGGGAAATAAGGCAGAGGGTATGTCTACATTGCAATTAGACACCTGTGGCTGGCCTGTGCCAGCTGACTCGGGCTCGTGGGCTCAGGGGCTATTTAACTGCAGGGTAGACATTCGGGCTTAGGCTGCAGCCTGAGCTCTGGAACCTCCTGCCCCCTCACAGGGTCCCACATCCTGGGCTCCAGCATGAGCCTGAATATCTACACTGTAGTTAAACAGCCCCTGAGCCCAAGCCTTGTGAGCCTTGAGTCATCTGGCACGGGCCAGCCGTGGGTTTTTAATTGCAGTGTAGACATACCCAGAGAGATGAAATTACTTGTTTAAGATCACACAGGAAATCTGTAGCAGAGCTGGGAACTGAACCCAGTCCAGCGCCTTAACCACAAGACCATCTTTCCTCTCTAGTCTTCCTCTTTCTAAACTCATTTCTTCTTTGTTCACATTTTCTCACATCTTCGTCTCTTGGTTCATGCAGTTGCTGAATGCCCAAAATTCCTGCTGCTGAGTTACAGGGAGTTGTGTGAGAGTAGCATGCCCACGAGGTCTGCAAGACCAGGCATTTAAGTAAGCAGGGATTAATGAACTGCACAGTGTTTGTTTAGAGAGAAGTCCTGTGCATTGTTTAAGGGAAATAGGAAGGATGTTCCATTTTACAAGACAATAATCTAATTCTGAGGGAATAAATTATGAGTTACAGCCAAGTAGTGCTAGTAATTAGTGAACCAGATTACTGTCAGGGACAGTGAATCAGCCCGTCTCCTATGAATACAAGTGAACTAGTACTCTATTAATAAAATACTTTTCCCCTATGCCTTCCCAACTTAATGCTCCCTACTTGGAAAACTCCAAATGCCATCCAAATTTTATCCCTATCTTTAAGCCTGATTTTTAAATCTGTAAAGACAAATATGTGTTTTTGTAGCTGTTAAACATCATGATCAGATACTATAATTCTGTTACGTAGTCTGTAATATTGAGAAAAGAAAGAAGGGGTTTTCAATTTACATATAACATACCTGATATTTTTCAAAACAAGACAGAATACATTTATGAATGTGGCACTCCAATTTGTGCTATTAAAGCGGCATCCCTACTGTGTTCCCATTCTGCAACACAATTTAGACAGCAACCAAATTTGGCCTGATTAGTTTCCTATGGACCTTATTAAATTCCTACTGGCATCATCAGTTTTTCTATGGATTTCAGTAGACTTTGGATCAAGCCCTATAAAACCCAGTTCCTCTAGGAACTATTTGCAAATTTAGGGCCTGACCCTGTAATCTAATCTGTGTAGATGGCACCCGGAACCTGGGTGGAGCTCCACTGGGACTCTGCATGGGCATAAGGGTCCATTCATGTGGATCCTAACAGGAAATTGAGGCTTTATTTATTTCACTAGGGATTAAATTAGATTGGTTTGGTAAATTTATCAGTGAAAGATACTTCTTTCAGTTACTTTTCTGGTACACCCATTCTAAAACTTATCATAAGCTTAAAATTTTTTACATGATTCCCAAATAATTTGTTCACACTAAGGACTGTAAAGATATATTACTTTATAGCCATGCTGCAATGTAGGGGTTTGATACTTAAGTAAACCAATAATTTCAAACATCTCCTCTTTATGTGCTCATCTGCATAAAATCGTCATCATTATCTAGCCTCACACTGTCAACGTATGCTGTCACAATTAAAATTGAAAGTAGGACAACAGTCTAAGATCCGACAATGATAAATTTTTAAAGATCTCTTCTCTGTATACTCAACTGCACAAATTCATTTCTTCAGATATCTCAATAGGATGCAGCACTGATAGCAAAACAAAACCAAAACCCTCCTCATCATTTGACAGGAAAGTGATCTAGCAATTTGATTATCTTTTGGTCTGTTAACTGTTTAGAATCCAATTTTCAAAAAAGCCTGTTGACTATCAATGAGAATTGGGTACCTAACTCCCAGAGGCTCCTTTGAAAACCACAGCCTCAATACCTTATTAATTATGATGATTATTATTACTAGTCAAGGATTTCCAGAGGCCTCCCATGGGATCTGTTTGCTAGGTACTGCACAAAAACATAATATAAGATCCCTTTGAGGATGGGATTATGTATAAAATGGCTAACTAGCTGCACTATATTCTCAGTGATTTAACAGAGGGAATGTGGAAACAGTGCTGCATTATTAAACACTGCATTCTACAATATGAAAAAAAATCAGTGTGATTGAATTTCTTCTATCACTGTAACTAGCTGGCAGTGTTTGCATGAAACACCCCATCTTTCTAGCAGATGTCTAGCCTGTCAGGAAAAAGGAAAATGGGATCTGCTGACTCACCAAAGCAGGTGGCTCATTACCCCAGCTGGGTCTAAGGGATGTAGAGAGGTTATCTAGAGTGTGGGCACAGCAGTCCTGGGAGAGGAAACCTAGGGGCAGCCAAGCCTGGGGAGAACATTTGAACTCATTTTTATATTATCTCTGTTGTTTGCTTTACCAATTAATCAAACCTCAGGAAGAGAGAGGAGTTTGTGCTTTACATACTGTGTGGACTACATTTGTAGGGCAGGTAAGGAATAGTGCCTGTTTCTAATGACATA